TTGTTGTTGTTGTTGTTGTTGTTGTTGTTGTTGTTGTTGTTGTTGTTTGTTGTTCACATAATTCAACACCGTTCAACTCATCCAAAGAGATTTGGCTGCATATTCTCCCAGAAAGATTAATGGAGTGGTTGTGACCAGTTGTGACCCCAAGAAAGATTAATGGACCTCTTCCATTCTGTTTAATTGATGCTGTTTCTGTTTAGTCGTGGACCCTTGTAATGGAATATATTGGAACTGATCTTATTGCTTCAACCTGTTGCAGCAGTGTCACAGTGTCATCGTAATGATTAGAGGCTTAGCACTGACGCGCTGCTTCCACATATCTACAACTGCCCACTTCCTGCCTGCAGCAGTGTCACAGAATAGGTGTCATGTTCTTCGTCCTATGGTGACCGCTGAACACTGTCCTATGGTGATCTTCAGCATGGATCGGTGGAGCACTGTCGAACATGGGTCGAACATGGCCCCACTGGCCCCAACGAACCCCGGACGGACCCGGGTCCACCATAAGATGAGCCCTACTGGACCAGTGTTTTGGACCCGGATGAGGGTTTTAGCCAGGTTTTTTTTCCTAGGTGTTCCTAGGTTTTGTTTGGACCATTCCAGACAGGTGATTTCCGGGATTCTGGACATTCCAGCCCCTTCACCAAGGTGGGCACGCCTGCTTGAGTGACTGTAGAAGAGCCCATTTTCAAAAAAACACCTTCCTGAGAGGTGGTTTTTCATCCAGGCCAACGACCCAGATGTCCTCTCCGTCGATCCCTTCGAATCATCGGCAGGTCTGCAGGCCCGCCCCACCGGCTCCGGTGACCGCTCCAGGTGCGAGGCCTGCGGAAGGTGGCCAGTGCCCTACGACAGCTGGGAGGTGAGGGCCATGCCGGGCCATGCCTACAGACTACAGAGGTTTCAGTGTCAGAGATGGCACCTTTCCCCCAAGACACCCTCACCAAACTTGGGGTCACTTGCGCAAACCCTCTGAAACCACTGGAGTGTAGGGCAGCCTGTACACGATTTCGCGACGCGAACCGGGTGAAGTTCCACCACCCTCACTCAACATCACCTGAACAGGTGGAGTTCGTTCCATGAAACCCTGGATGTTTCCAGGTCAGCACTAGAGCTGTAGGCCCCAAGGTTCAGACGTGTGGGTCGAAGAGTTTGGGCCCTGGGTTTTGTGTCAGGTCACCATGGAGGTTTGGGATACCATGCATGATTGTTTACACCGTGAGACTATGGGATATCCCTTGTTTAAACTTTGTGAAGCTCTTCGCCATGGCCAAGAGTTGAAAACCCATTGAATCTACTCCGAGACCCAAGCGACCAAGGGTTTAGGATATAATACCTTACCTTTCAGAACTTTATTCTCGACTGCTTTTGGCAACTATCCATATAGACTACTGCATTGGATCTTGGCGAACAAGTCTCAGGAGGGTATTAGTATAGTTCAGAATACAGCAGACTTTCCAAACAATGATTTATCTCATTTATCACCATTTTTATCTATTGTCTATATATGCCTGTTTGGGTATTCCTGTTTGAATCGTTCCTTGTCAGGCGGGACGCACAACATCCAGCCGCGATTCCATGCACAGATGCCCCTCGCATGCAGTGATTCGTGTTGCCAAAACTCATGACCCACACTTATAGGAAAGCTCCAAAGATGCACTTTGTGGATTTAGTCCCCCCAAAGTGGAGGCAACACATTCCCCTATCCAATTCCAGGCTTGTGAACAGACGCGCTCTTTTCTCTTGACAAAAAATGCCTTCGATTCGGTGGTCTCACCGTTTGTTCGTTTGGAATCCTTCGGACTCCCCCTTTCGTCCTTGACGAAAAAGCTGTAGCCTTTTCAGGCAAAATGCCTCGGCTCAAGGCGGTGTAAACTGGCATTTTGCCTTGTAGTACTCCGCTCTCATCTTTTCTTTCGTCCAGCCCCTTCGGGCGTGCTGCTTTTGGAACCTGTTCCAGGGATTCTCGGGCTCTGTCGATGCCCTTGAGCTTGATGAAGGCATGCTCATCGGTCCCTGGAGTGCACCGTGGAGGATCATTGAGGCTCTCTCCACGCTAGCGGCTGCTCTGTCAGCAGCTCGGGCGGCCAGTTGAGCGCTCACTGCCGCCTCTTCAGCATCACCTGCGGCCTTAGATGCCGCCTCAGCCACATCCCTGCTTGTTCGGGAACTGGACACGGAGCGGTCTGCTGAGCCCGATTGCCCCTGAGTAGGCATGGATGTAGAGCCATCTGCCGAGCCCGATCGTCTCCTGGTAGGCACGGACGTAGGTCCATCTGCTAGGCCCGATCGCCTCCTTGTAGGCAGGGTCATAGGGCTTCTGCTCGACATAGTGGCTTCATCACTCTGGGCTTGAGGGTTTCGCGTCCTCAAACTGTGCGGTGTTGTCACCAAAACATCAGCCCCACCATCTTCATCGGCTGACGTTGAACTCTCCTTTTCCCCATCTTCATCGGAGCCCTGCTTCTTCCGAGGCTTGATGGTCACCTGGTGCAACCGCCTCAGACAGCAATGCATTGACGCATAGATCGCGCTGCCAACCCAGATTGCCCCAATCGCAATCAAAATCAGGCCGCAGATCCAAAGGGCGTCAACTGTTGAATCCTCCGCCGGACTCCCTTGAGCTTCAGCCGTTCGCACCAGCACACTTCCTGCCAGCAATGCTCGAGCTGCGGCCGCTTGATCATGTACTTGAGGGGGTCGTCGATCAGCTCCATTCTGCTCTTGTAGTAGGGGTTGTCGACGGTCCATCTCAATGACCTTCAAACTGGCTTCCTCTCCCTTCAGGCCCAGATCACTAAGAAAGTTCTGGAAACTTTGGCCCAAGAGAGGTTTCGTTAAGCCATCGGCCACCAACTCAGTGCCTCTTAGGTGCATCAGCTTCCAAGCTCCACCTGGGTATGGACTATTGTTTTCCAGGGCCTCCCGGAGCAGATTCGATCTCACCCGGAGATGTCTTGTCCTCCAGGATGTGGCACTGTTGCCATGGGCCAGTGATATAGCCGCGGCATTGTCCCCATAGATCACCCTGTCAAAGGTGTTGTTCTTTAGCTCCTCCCCCCACATGGTGCACAACAAGGCCTCTGTCGCACGACCTGATGTCAGGGCCTCACAGTACGACACCAATTCGGCTTCCGCTGTGCTGTGGGTCACAAATGGTTGCGAAGAGCTCTGCCAAGCGATGGGTGCTCCAGCAAAGTAAATCGCCAGGCCTTGTGAACTTCGGTGTCCTGACCCTGTGCCATAGGCGATGTCAGCATACACCTCAATGAGTTTCCCATGTCTGGGGATCTTCAACTGTCCACGCGCACCCCAAACTTGATGCACCTGACCCGTGTAGTGGAGATCTCCTGGCGTGCCCTTGATGTAGGCCAGGAGGGTATGAGCAACTTCAACTGCCTTCTTTGGATTCCGGGTCATCATGCGGCTGACAACCGCCACTCCCAGCGCGAGGTCTGGTCTTGACCTCGTTGACAACCATAGGAGAGATCCTGCCAGGGCCTGTGCTTCACGAACTTGCCTGATGTCCGTTTCCCCTTGGGCCTCAAAATCCTCCTCCGTGATCTTGAAGTTGGTGCATCCCGATGCAAACCCAGCCATTTTTGGACATACGCACAGGGCCATTTGTGAGCATAGGCACAAGGCTCCCCCTCCATGCCCAGCATGGATAGTTGTGGAATGGCCGTTTTTTCACGCAAGCGACGACGAGGAATGTCCCCTTCCCATGCCGCCGAGCCTGAGGGTTCTTGTTGAAGAGGCAGGTACACATGATCATCATCAGCTTCCGGCTGGTCAGCACTTGGTATCACCACATCATCCGTGTAGAAATACTTTTGAGTTTCTGTTGACCGCACATAGTAGCTTGTGGAGGTGAACGAACTTTGCAAGGCTGGTCCAAGCACCTGTACCTCATCTCGGATCGTCCTCCACGGTTGGTAGCGATCCTGCCAAGACTTTTTCAAAGCATAGGCCTTGGCCCCAAACTTCAGCAGCGGTCCAACGGGGACTCCAAGGGATCTGAGCTGTCCTCGAAGCCGGCGTTCGCCGATGTGGATGGCAGCTAAAGGCCACTGGTTGAGATCCAGATCCGTGGTGGTCATGATCGTGCGCACATGTTTTTTGATCACTCCCAGCTCTCCTTCAACCCGGCCATTGGACTTGTAGGAATCACCTGAAGTCAAAGTTGTCACGATGCTTCTGTCCAATGTCCATCGACGAACTGGTGCCGAAATCAGATCTCTGGCGCGATCGCAATGGAGTCTGTACAGAGGCAAACCCAGACTCCGAAGCCGAGCATAGATCCTGGCAAGGGCTCGAAGGATGTGTTGAACCCCCCCGGCTTGGAAGAACCTCCACGAAGGTCAAGTTTCTGACAGCCACATCTTGCACCGAGGCCACTTCCTTTTGCCAAGCGTCGAAGGCAGTGCGACCGGCTCGAACAGCAGCATCAGCCCCCGCCTGTGACGGGCCGTCAATTTGGTCCTCCCCCGGAATCTCATCCACCTCCTCAGGAAGAAAATCCTCACCCGGGTCCTCTCCGCCTGGCTCCGTTGGGGTGTACTCCTCAAGGTCCAGCGATGGCATGCCCACTTCCGCCCCCGCTTCAACTTTCTCCACCAGGGACCGACCAGCACCATCGATGGGGAAGGTGTACACCGCCACCATCATGTACTTGCAATCATGGCGGCTTTGATCTTGACCGATCACCATCCTCCCTGACAGGTCCACACTCAATGTATAGGCCTCAGGGTGCGTGATCCGCCTATGCGGTTTGCTCCTTGCAGCAGCTTTGACACATTCTTTGCAATCCCTTCTAGCGGGCATATGGTCCTGGAGATAGTGTTGCCTCCAGCTTTCCAAAGCAACCTGACCCAAAGGCCGGAGAGCTGTTTCCAATGCCGGTGCGGTGCCCCTGTTGAGGTGATCTTGAAGCGCCAGCACCAATGCCACCTTGAGGCCAGGGGCCCATGCAGCCCATTGTTTTGATTGATCACATCTGTCCTGCAAGGGCATGCCGCGTCGATCTTGAGCAGCTTCCTCATCCCCACACGGAGGACCACGAATTTCGTTCAGGGCATGGATGTCACGGAGCTTGACTGCCAAGGTTGTGGGTTTCTTTCTCACATGACCCATCGGGCCTTGATCGAAGTGGAGCAACCGGAGCTGGTAGGTGTCGGAGAAAACCCGCCAAGCCTTTGTCCTCCAAATCGACATGAATTTTTTCTTCTCCACTTCTTCACGAGGTCTGTAGCGAGCCGGATCTTCAGGCTGCTCAAGGGCCAGGGCAGTTTGCGGCTCATGTTCATGGCGAACATCCTCACATAGCACATACAATGCCAACATTCTGAACAAGAGGATGCTGTCCCCCCAAACCAAAGCTTGCTCTGCCATTGAAAGGGATGGAAGGCCATAAGGATGCTCTTCAGACCGCAACACACCTGGACCATCATCGTCCTGGTACCGCAAAGCTGACACCGTGCGGCAGGGCGGTCCGCCCACAATGGCCTTGACACGGCCTGTTGCAGCCAAAGCCAGCAAAAACCGATAGACGTTGTCATCGTGCATGTCGGCTGCCACTGCTGCTTGTAGATCAACACAAAGCACCTCAACTCCATTCTGCTGAAGAGCCTTCTCCCAATACCGGGCATCAGGGCCGGAAAACAGATGGAGCACAATTTGCTTGGCTTGGGCCAGGCGTCTTCGTTTTCTCCGGTTCCAAGGCAGCAACGATCCGTCCGCCACTTGCTGTAGATCCGAGAGGTCTGGGATCACCTTCATCAAGAGCTCATCCGGCACATCCTGAAGAAGGTGTTTCAGCTTGAGTGTTAGGGCCATTTCGGTTGACAAAGGTGGAGCCATAGGAACCATTGCGGGCTGTGTGAACAATGTCTTGATGAGCAAGGCCTTCTGAGCCAAATGCACATGACGTCGCTCCAGCCGATCGATCATTTGTCGTCCCAGCTCCTTGTTGACCATGGGGCACCCATGTTGTATTGTAACATCCAGCTTGTTGCCATGGTCATCTTTCAACAAACAGTAGGACCCCTTCCACTCAAAACGATAGCCCAACTCTGCAATGCCACCCAGCGGAACAATCCATGATTTGTCCAGCTCTGCATCGTGTGGAGCAGAAAGGAGCACCTTTGAGTCCTGCTTCAGACGGAGTTTATTTGACACTCCTTCAGCCAAGGTCACCTGTGTGGGCTGCGCTGCTTCCCACTCAACCATGTCCGCCGCCGGACGAAGCGCATGAGTTGCTCCGGAGTCCAAAAGCACTGTAGACCCGCTGGTGTCATAGTCAAGCTGACTCACCCTTATCACACGCAATTGAGGAGCACGAAGGGACTTGAGGAGCTGTGTTGCCTCATGGAGCAATGCTTCACTTGTTGTTGCCCCTGTTTCACCTCCTTTTGTCATAGTCTCCCCCGATTGGTTGTCACCAGCTCCCGTTGCATAGGCGGTCTCAGGGCCCGGAATTTCCATCTCTTGCAACTTGACGGGATTCTGTGCAGCTTGTTGACCTCCACTGGACCTGGAGCCGGGCTGCATCTTTCCTCCCCCTGAGCCAGCACTTGGCTCACCAGCGCCCTTTCCATCCTTGGTCGGAGAAGGCTTCCCTGTGGTTTGTGACTTCAACTTGCAGTCGGACTTGCGATGGCCTTTTCCTCCGCAGATCCAACATCTTTGAGCTTTGTCGTCAATGCCATCCCAGGCATGTGACCATTTGCAGTTTTTTCCTGCTTTGCAGCCGGTGTCTGACCTGAAATACCGGCACGGGAGAGCTGCTGTGGAGGTGCCCTTGCCTTTGTCCCCCGCGGAGGCAGCTCCTTGTTGTTTCACCGGAGCATCCAACTGTTTCACCTTCACCGGTGTAGCGGACATTGTAGGCGTAGAGTTCAGCAGAGTCAAAGTCTCCACCTCCGCCAGTAAACATTGACTGAAACGCCAGACCCCTGCATGATGCGGCTGTTGATCAACCCCCAACTGCAGCCTGCTCTGCGCCAGTCGAAAAGCTGCTTGTGCATCCAAGGCTGCGATCTGAGTGACCGCAGGCTCCAAAGCCTTGAGGAGTAAAGTGCCATCAGGAAGCACTGCCCCAATTTCTTCAGCTCTGGCGTAATGCCGCCGCCAGGTGCGCAAAGTAGCTGCCAGTTCAGGAAGGCCAGCTGCTTTATCCAAAGCCGTGAGTTTGGCCAGGAGGATGGATTTCTCACCTGCTCCACCTGGTTGGTAGCGGACCAGAAGCCTGAACAACAGGGCCGTGGACGTGAGCTCACGAGCAGTGATCAGCGCTTGCTGCTGGTCGCCAGGGATCGCTTTGAGCAGGAGGTGCACTCCCCGCTGCTCAGTTCTCTGGTACCGGACATCGAAGAGCTCGTCCGGCAACTTTGGGTCCAGCTGGACTCTCTCCAAGGGCGATGCAGTCTTCCAGCGATCGTAGTAACATTGGGCCTCCCGCAAAGTCAGGTTCCACCACCTGGCTGACACTTGCGAAAGATCACGAAGCACAGGACCGCAAACCGCCAACCAATCCCCCAGCTCTATTGGCGATGCATCTGCCGCCAATGTTGGAAGGTCAGCCTTGCTGCCACTGCCATCATGCCAAGGGAGCGGCGCTGCCATTGAAGAACCACTCTCAGGCCGCCATCGACCATAGATCTCATCATCACGAGGTTCAGACCCCAAACCAGGGCCTCCCGCACCGGGCCTTGACATGCCCATAGCTTCACTATGCACCGGCCGCCATACATCACCATGAAGACCTGTGCCAGGATCAGGAGGGCATACACGATCACATGCTTGGGGTGCCCGATGAAAGTTGAGCTCCCCACCATGACCATGAACCATGCCCCGAAGATCATGTCCATGCATTCCCATGCTACCTCCAGGCAAACATCTCGAGCTGGAGGGACCTCCTTGGAGCATGAAGTGGTGATGCCAGGACATTCTCTTTCATGTAGGCCAAGGAGTTCTTCAATTCTTCAACTTCACGTTCCAGCTGAGAGGTGCGATCCTGTGGAACAAAAGCTTTCCCCTCACGCTGGTCCATGGGCAACCACTGCGAATCGCCATGTCGACCACGGCGATCCAAAAGTTCATAACCTTTCAACAAACTAAGATCAGCCGAGTTGCTTGACGGTGGAAAGGGAGGTGCTGGAATCTCCGGCAAGGCGGCTCGATCAGGAGGTGAGCCTGGAGGCACCTGCGTCCCATTTGGAGTGAAGCGATGCCCACCAGCCGCCGGCCTTCTATTCGTAGGACTTCGCCCACGAGGAGTGCGAGGCGGCTCACCCTTCTTCGCCATCGGCCGAACCGGCCCCCCACCATCACCAACACTGGTTGTGGACCCCAAAGAAGCTTCTTCTGCGGGTTGTCCTCCCCCCAAACCTTCGATTTGAACCCAGGAAGACGGGGTGGATGTTGGAGCGCTACCCGACTTCGACTGGTGCTTCTTCAACCGCTCCAGTTCGTCCCAAAGCTGGGTGTTTTGCTCCCTCAAAAACTGCACCATTTCCGCCTCCAAGGCTCTCTGAAGGCTATCTTGGTCCTCCTTCTCGCGATCAGGTTCACGAGGGGGTCGATGCTTCGGCGGCAGCGGACCCATGGAGGCGCGGCCATGACTTGAGGGACCAGAGGAACTCTCGCTTGGAGGCATGATCCCTTCAGTTTGCTTCCCCCGGCCAGAAGGACGACCATCGATTTCGCTGCGGGCACTCGGGGGTGTGGTGAAAAGTCGAGCCCCGACCGATCCACCCAGGGACGTCACACCACGTCCCTTTCCCGAGCAGGCTGTGCCATCCTGCACCGCCTCCGCCTCCTCTTCCCAGTCGCCATCCGCCGGAACTGGCAGATCTTCAGGCCGCTTGGACCTCAGGATAGCCTCCAACTTCACCTTGTCGCTCCACCATGGGTTCACAGCGACGACGGGCGGCAACGATCGAGCCCGATCCATGCCCACCCAAAGGTGAAAAAAGCTACCCTGAGCGGTCGTTTGGGCTCATAACCCTTGTGAACAGACGCGCTCTTTTCTCTTGACAAAAAATGCCTTCGATTCGGTGGTCTCACCGTTTGTTCGTTTGGAATCCTTCGGACCAGGAATGCTTTGGAAGACTTATGATTTCCCAGACAACGACGTGCCATGTGGGTGTGTAGCTCAAGACATTCCAACCCTTAGGCTTTCGCTTCAGGAAATACACCAGTCTACCCTGGCAAGATTCTGGGGCGAGATTCCGCGGGGGTCTGCCCGGAACACGACACACCCATGGCCAAACCAGATCCAATGAACTGGAGACTGACACCAGATCCAACAGTTATGGTCTCCGAAAACGCTCACTCAAAAAGAATCATGGAAGCTGACCAAGACCCACTAAAGATAGAGAAACATGTTCTTCCAGGAGCCATGCCATCCAGTTCGTGTATCCAAGAACTAGAGTGGATTGAAAGTAGATGTTCCGAGTTTGATGGGTTTATATGATAACTCCCATTTTTGTGTAAGTCATTTTGGGGGGAGTGAGCATACGAACGCAGAACTCGAACGCAGGCTCACCGCGCACCGAGCACCCGCTCGCCCTCCGTCCGGATCGCGGCAGGCCCATCCTACGCTGGGCTCCCCGTCGTCCAGATCGCGCAGGCTTGGGCCTCTGAGTTCCATCGGAGAATCAATCGGGTGTGTTGGGTGAAGCACAAAGACGTGGTTTTGCGAAGTGATGGGGTGATGGTGAAGTTTCCCTATGGGTGAATCCCCAGAATGGTGAATATTGTTATACATGTTATACATTGTTTTTTATTTTGCTAGATGTTTTCCCGGGTCCTGAAAGCAAATCCAAGAGCATCAACAACATGAAGTCTTTGCTGTTCTCAAATAACAACGTTGCGACTTGTTCTTCCACCCCCTTTGCACTGTATCCTTCAGTTTTACAGCCTTTCTGAGTGGCTACATCCGGCCAGGCGCGCTGGCGTGCGATATCAGTGCTAGGGTCCCCAACGCGCCAGAGCTGTTTGGCCAGCGGGCGCAGCGGGTAGTTCGTCCACGCATGTCCAGGGGCCAACGATCAGCCGGCCCCGATCAGTTCGTCCATCACTTCAGTCCCTCCAGCAAACGATGGAAGATGATGGAAGTAGAGGGACCCACAACCCCGGAGTTGTACCTGGACCTTCTTTCGGGGTGTCCTGTTTGGAGGTCCCTTAGTAGTAAGCTGGTGCTTCCATTGGTGACCCCTTTGAGGGGGCTGGTAGAGGAAGACTATATATACAAGGCCTGCGTTCCCCTTCCATGATATGTCGGAGGGATGGGTACCTGGAACGACCAAGGAGGTGTGCTTGCGAAATGACGAAACGGGACGGACCTTGCTCGCTGAATTTGTGGTAAGAAAGCCAGGGATTGATTGCGTATAGATGTTACGCATGGAGCTACTGTTACTTTGGAGGACGAATTCCCTATTAAAGAGGGAGTTAAGAAACACAGGACATGTATGGACATGTGTGTGGGGTCACTGGATGTCTTCTGAGCAAGCGGTGCGCTGTGTCAGCCTCAGTGGACGCTGGGTTGGCTGGAGATCTTCAGCTATGGAGGCCAGTTTCTCTTGGTGAGTGATTCCAAAGAGTTTAGAGCAGTCTATATGTTTCTTGTTTCATGTCAACAGCGGGTTTGGGATGCTTTTCTTTGTGCAGTGGATGATGTCGCGGTTGGCCCGCCTAGGTGGGAAATGTGCTGGCAGTAGCCAACACCCGGTTGATTGCCACCTATTTAGAGATCGCGCCTTGCCAGCATTGCTCTTTGAACACCGACAAACAGACATCTCAGTCAGAAAGATCACTGAAGTAAGTTTATACATGTGCTACATCCACGCTAGCCCATGTTTCTTCCAAGAGACTCACGGGAGAATCACGACTCTGACATGGTTGGAACATGCTGGGGCATAACACGAGAACATGCTATATACATCATTGAACAACACGATTTATTGACAGTGGTTTCCGAGTAGATGGCACGTTTCCCCCAAGACGACTTCGACAAATTCCCCATAAACCACCAAACTTGGACATGTGTGACATCTAAAAGCAGTGTATACTTAGCAAAAGGTGCGGTGTTTGATATGCTTGGAGTCCACAATCTCAGCACTGAAGTCGCCCACTGACTGAAGCCGCTGACCGCTGACGGCACAGCTGACTCCTTTAGGACCAGCGAGTTCCAGTGCTCTTGCGGGCCATCAAGGCACACTGTGTTATGCCGACGGTGGAATTTACAAGAGAAAACGTCCCAGTATGGATGTAAAAAATAAATATAAGCAATAAAAATATATATATATATATTATATCTGATATCTGTTATATATACCAGGACCTTCAGTCAGTGACCGTCCTTGAGATCGGATGAGGTCACAAACCGGCCTGTCAATGGCCACCTTTGTAGACAAAGAGATGAGGGCAGAAGGTCCTTCGGCTGTGCGGTCGGTTTCCGACACCGCGGTGCGGATTCATCACGACTGGGCGGAGAAACACAGCCCAGGTGAGACCCGACGTACCGGCGGAAACAGTAGTCCGAACTGTTACTTTTCAGTAGCACAAGGGGCTTGGTTTCACAACCACAGGTGCCATACCCAATCAATCCTCAAAAGGACTCTATGTCCGGCTTCTCAGCGCACTGTGTACGAACTTGGTGCATATTTCGAATGTTCTTGGCGATTGCAGACAAAACTTTAATTCATGTTGAGTCTTTTAATCGGTTCCCTAAGCTAAGCCTTCAAACTTCTCACATCTTCTCACTTTCGATCATGGCCTTCTCCTACTTCGTCACTTCGGACCTTGCCTGCTCGTGGCTTGTGGCACCTGACTGGCTCACAGCGCAGACTCACAGTGTCCTACGTTGTCACGGGCGTTGTTTGTTTGGTTTCTGAGAACGTCCAAGGCGCGATGGGTTGCGAGAAAGATCTCGTGAACATAGAGTTGGTTGGCGAGTGGTGCTTTGATGTATTTTGGGAGTTATGTTCCACAAGAAAGTTACAACAATTTCTGATGAATTCTCATGGAAGACACTTTGTGTTTGCAGATCATTGTCGACATGGCCAACCTGCATATATTTGCACAATTGTTGCACATATATCTATATATATATATTTATCACATATATCTTAAAAACTCTTGGGTTGGGAGTTCCAGTCTAAAGTGACTCATCAAGTATGTCGTCCATTCTCTAGCTCTTGGGTTCCAAGTTCTCTTCGGCTCAGAGCAGACTTCTTGCCTGCTTGATCCTGCTTGACCAGACCCATCTCCGCCTTCAACCAGACCCTTCGGACGGTCCTCTCCGTTCCGGCTCCGCGAGGCCATGGGACTCGAGGCCACGACCAAGGGATTTGACTATGGCGTCTACGACGTGGACGCCACAGGCGCGGCGAGCGCAGCCAGCCGCTGCAGCGCAGCGTTCGCGTCCGCATCGGCTCGCGCGATGGCAGCGGACGGCGCGGGGAGCGCCGGAAGACGCAGAAGGACCGTCGGAAGCTCCACCCGGACCGTCGGGCGGGGCTTTTGGTTGGTTCTGCCGTGATCCGCGCGGCTCGTTTTGGGCGATCGGCCGGGGAAGGCCTCTTCTCAAGAATATGGGATCGCGGCCGCTCGCCCAGTAGCGTTGAGATGGTCGTGGGTGTTGAAATTATACAAGAGAGATATCAGTCCATCAGGATTTCTGGGATATGCTTGTTTGGGTGATGTTGATGGATTCTTTAAATATGATCCACTGGGATCCTCACAGGACTTGCCGTTTCGAATTTGACACCGAGTTTGCGGGATGATGGTAGTTTTTCTGAGAGTCTCAGATATTGGAGTGTGGCGTCATGCATGTTACATTCATACCCCCCAAAGATAGCCGTGCCAACCACGCACCGACCAGTGGATCAGGGTCTCCCCTTGTTCTTTGCAGGGTCTCCGCCGGTTGGTCCAAGCCGTTTGGACCTCTCCGTCGACGGCGAGGCTTGGCCGGCCGAAAAGTGATGATCATCTACGACGGCACCGCAGGAGCCACCCAGACTGGTGAGACGGCAAGTGTTTCTTCTCCAAGTGCATTCTGCCGCGGTCGTGGAAGAAAGACGAAACGAAGTGAGCAAGGGCCTATTGCAATGAATCATTAATATAACACACACAAAGTAACATATATATATATACATGCATATACTGCATGCAGATTTGCCATATTGGATTACAACGATCGCTTTACCGGTCTGAATCCCGAACAATCGCAAAGTAGTTGTCCATGTTTACAGTAAAATTGTGCTTAGTTGTTGTGAAGTGATTGCATAGGATGTTCCAATTAGGGAAGCGACCTCACCCAACTCAAGAGCTTCCTGTTGTTTGTTTTTTCCTGCTCTTCCAGGGTATGTGAACTCTTTGGTACATGGAATATGTTGCAATTCAGCTGAACTAGCTCTAGTAGGATGTTGAAGCGATGTCATTGTTTTAAGTTTCGACTCTTTTTTGACCACCCGCAGGTGCTGGCCGCCACTACATCGCTGCAGCAGTTTACCTGCGAGAGATGGGCCTCCTCGTATCGATGGTCACTTGGAGAAGTGAAGGGAGGGCGTGGCCTTTCATGGCGCTTGATGGAGGTCCGCCCTTTTGGGGAAGACGAGATGTGCAATACTGGGAGTTTGTTTTCACGATTTGAGCCACCAACCATCGCTTTGCGGGGGTCTTAGTTTTGCATCCGTGTCTCTTCGCTTGTTGACCCCAAAAGATAAGTTAGCCAAAAGAACGGTCCTCGGTCCGGCAGGGCTTCGTTGGTGCCGCGCGCGTAAGTATGTGGGGACCGATCAATGCGTAAGTATATCCGGGAGAATGTTTTATGCAGCAGAAACGTGCGGTGACCGTGAACACTGGGAGAACTTGAGAGGTGCCTGATGTATGGACAAGCCACCACAGGCTTCGATGGACAGGACCGTGAGGAGATGTGAGGATCTTCGAAGAGGAGATCCATTTTTTCGCCAATTTGGACGCAACTAGGAGCAAAGGGCATCGCTACTAGGAGCAAAGGGCCTTACTACTGAACAAGAAGCTAGTATAGAAACAATAAGAATTAAGTGGAATTAAAAGCAAGAAACGGAACTCACTGCCATCAAGGGATAGATTGCCACTCCGAACGGAACTCGGAACTCGGAACTCCCGACCTGCCCTGCCGGCACGGCCGTGCCAGTGCCGGTCGAGAGACCTGAAGAAGTGACCCGGAACTTTTCGGAGAAAAATGGACTCAGTGGACTCAGTGGACTCATGTCTATAGGAAACGTACCAGGACCCGACTCTACAGGTCACCAATTGAGACCTGTTAGGGTCCAACAACCCTCAACTAACAGCCTGTTGGAGGGTGCTGGTAGAGGATAATATCATGGAAAATGGTCTTTCCAGGGGCCATTTTCCACTTAGACACTAAGTGCAAGGTTTGATGAGTAAATCAGCCATCAATCCACCTCACAATCCACGCCCGCTGTTTGGAACGGCATTGATCGTGTTTGTCATTGTGAGGGAGAATCATTCATTGAGGCATATTGAGGCGACATATGAGTGGAATCTGACCCAACAGATAACAGATGCGTTTGAACGACCACCCGCCATCCGAAAACAAGCCCTTTGGCAATCGTGACTATATAGATCGAATAATCTCCACCACTCAGTGGGTGTCCTTTACTTGAATACAAGCAGTTGACTATCGCAGTTGTAGTTACGTACCTGACTGAGGGTCACATGTTGTTACTCTGACTATCACTGAAGATGACCCAAACCATCAGACGTTTTGATGGTTCTCAGCTTCATCCTCTTCTCCAGAACAACTCTACCATTAATCTCATGACCAGTGGGAGAGCTGGTTTTGGAGTGAACTGGGTGTCCTAAGGCTTTGTAGTTGTGTTGATTGGTTCGGAACACGGGCTGCTTCTCCCAGGCCATCGAAGGAAGGTTCACCAAGTCTAGTGACTATAGTCATTTTAACTCCAACATGCTGACATGTTCATTAGTGGTGCATCTAGTCCCTGGAAGTCCGTTCGACCATTTGTAGTCCATGGTTGATTTGGTCTTTGTAGTCAGTACAACAATGGTTCGTCGAGATGACCCGGCAATAAATCCCAGACACGACGAATGGGACGACGGCATAGGACTGCCGCCGACAGGTCAACCGCCCCTAACTGATCGGTAGTCCTATGCCAGTCCCATTAGTCGTGTCTGGGAATGCTGGGCCACGACTTCACCCGGGACGACTTCACCCGCGTGGACGATCAGCTTCGACGTCACCCGCCAGGTGGGTCCACCCGACGCCAGCGACCTCGCCAGCGATCCGCACGTGGTGGGAACGGTGGGAGGGACCCGAAGAACCGAAGGTCCCTAGGGCTCCTGGCCCACCTCCTGAGAAGGTGGGTCTAACCAGTCTAACCTGAGGATATGGGCCAGACCCTATAGGTATATAGACCAAATATGAACAAATCATCAGGAAGAGCCATCCATTGACTGGACATGATGCATCATGATGCAACAAAAGACATGCAGATGTATTTCTGGCGGCTCGGAGTCAAGGGCACCAAGAGCCGACGGAGTCGGCTTTAGGGCCGCTTGGTTTCCGGTGGCGACCAGACTGGGTGCGTCCAAGAAGCTTCGATATCCACATCGTTATACCTTAGCCCAAAAGTCATCAAACGTCCAGTTCGAGTATACTTGGCACCACCAAAAATTGGCACCACCAAAAAGATAATTTAAATTTCTTAGACTGCCAGGGCTTAAATAGATAGGCAGCGAGAACCGATTGGTCACTTACCACTGTTGCTGGCAAGGTTCGAGGACTAGTCGGCTCCAGGTTTTTTTGGGTGCAAAGTCGTTCCGGCTCCCCTCGAGATGCTCGTTTTGTTTTGAACCCACCAGGCAGGTGAGTAGAAAAGGAAAGCAATCTGGTGGGTGAAAGAGGTCCACACCTATACTCTGAGTTCTATATGTGAAGAGAGATGTCTCATTTCCACTCAGGGGCGGCATTTCGAAGTGTCCTATGTTTCGACAAGCCCCTCCACCAGTGAGATCTTGTCTGCGGAGAGCACCTTGGCCCAACCGGACAAGCCACAAGGAGCAGACGGATTGGGCGGAATGAGAGCAACTGGGATGTGGACTGGTTTAGGCGGTTTAGGATTCTAAACTCCATTCCTTTTCATCACGTGATGGATGGCTTTTCTGCTGGGAGGCCCATCTCCGGTT